AATGGCAGGACAAGTCTTGGTTATGCCTGGAGATGCAGAGAGAGTATAAAACACTGATAAAGAAATTACCAATGAGTGAGACACAATCTTGGAAAGATGCTTGAAGAATCCAGAATGTTTGTCATATTGGCTTCATGATGGTCAGCATCATGATCGACTGTCACAGGTGTAATATGGATGACAAAATTGAGCATATATGATATTTTGTGTATTACTGGGGTAGTGTAGTAATACACCCAGCATTTATGCTTCTAGATTTGTAATCCTACAAGTGTTACTTTTAGACTATATGGTAAATTTATACATGTGTATTTTAATTACACATGTATCCATATAATAATATTAATTGATATTTTCCTACTTACTAGAAAAGCACAGAATTAGCCAAATTCTTCCAATTGGGAAAGGACCTCAGTTTTTAAAAATGAATTCAGAGATAGCCTGTACCATGAATAATTAAAAGCAAGACAAAATTTTGATTTTTTTTCATGCACAACATGAGTAAAAAAAATCTTACTTGGGAAAAGGTAACCATTCAGTAAGAAAAGTGTCCTGGTGAATACTGGTGGTTTCATGGAGCAGCAGAAACACAGAATTTCCTAGCATGGCTGAGGATGAGAAATAGCTTGCAACACTCTTTACTGGGTATTTGTTGATTATTTATTGTGCCTTAATTCTCATCTCCTAAAAGAAAATGTCCAAGATCTCAGATGTCATCCATAGCACATCATTTCATGGCTCTCAAAGTATGAAGAGGCACCTGGAATGCACTCATGAGATGTGTTCAGGTCACACTGGCTTCTTCAAAACAACCTGCTCTAGCTTCAGTCTGACCAACTCTGTCCCTTGTCTCCTCTTGAGCTCGATTTACCAGGGCCATGGGCTTTGTCCATTATGTCCCCAAAGGAAGGAATTCACAAAGTCTTCCTTCATGAAGGTGACAATACCCCAGCATCACTCAAAGAACTGACTATCCAATCCACAGGGATTCAGGTCTGTTTGAGGTTCCACACTTTCTGAGAATTGTGGGCTCCAACTTTAGAACATTAAAAATCATTTGTTCTATGAGCTTACTAACTTAGAAAATGCCTGCCTCTTTTCTTTCCTGACCACAGAAAGGTAAGTACTCAAGCAGATGGGAAACAGGGGAAGATAGTATGGACCCTTCATCATTATCAGCTAGAAGGGAGAGCTGTCACTGAACACACAGAACAACATTATGACTTCAATTGGGAACAGAGGAACATCAAAGGGATCTTGAGGGCAACAGTCTCCAACAGTTCCCATCTGTGCATGCCATCTCTAACAACAGGGCTGGTCTCTGCTCCTTCTCATGACAGCCCTATAAATGCAGCCTGGCTCCTCACTCCCCACACGCTGGCCTTCTGCTCATCCTTCCTCCAGGTGACTCTCAGCCATGAAGACACTTGTCCTCCTCTCTGCCCTTGTCCTGTTGGCCATCCTGGGCCAGGCTGATGCTCTCCCTGAAGCAACTGAGGAGACTAAAAATGAGGATCAGCCAGGGGTAGAGGACCAGGATGTGTCCATCTCCTTTGGAGGCCCAGTAGGCGATGCTCTTCAAGATGCAGGTGAGTGGTGGTGCCCAGTATGATAGTGGGTTAGAGTCTCCTGAGAGAGGGTTGATGATGTGCTCCCAAATCATGTCCAGACCTGTGTGATCTAGGTAAGTATCTCTTCTGATCCTGTGGAGTCTTCACTGTCTTATTGTTAGACGTAACAGAGAGAGTCAGAAAAGGGTAAATGTTTTTCTTTCTTTTAAGATTTCGATCTAAAAATTTAAGTTTGGAATAGTTTCAAAATATAGAACATACTGATTAGCTCTTTGTCTTTCCATTGATAAGTTTTGTTATAGAATGAAAAATCTGCTTTTTTTTAAAGAATAGAATTAGGAAGCAAATGCCATGAATGTGTTGGTTCAGGAAGACACAAAACAGGTGAAGGATGTGAAATGGGAGTCAAGTCATGCATATGATCAATATTTGTTTAATGTATTATTTCCCAGTGTTTGAAGTTGATCATGGTGATGGGTGTGATGTCATCAATAGAAACAAACTTGCTCTGTACCATGTATCCTAATCTTCAAATTTATTATACACTATTGCATACTGCTGGCTACCTTATTTAATGTCTGATGTTCAATTTTTCTTCAGATCCAAGAAAGATCCCCATGTGCTTCTGTAGAAAAAGAACCTGCAGATTTCTTGAACGTCCAGTTGGCAAGTGCGGCAAAGGCTCTGTATTCTGCTGCCGCTGAGACCAGAGACAAGATCACCATGTGCTCTGAGACTTTATCATCTGTCAGCACCCTTATACTTTGCCTCGATGGTTTTTCCTTCTCCAATAAATTTCCTTGCAGAAGATGAATCTGTTTTTACAATTCTTTCATGCTTTCTATGTGTCTTAGTCAGGACTCTTCCAAGCTATCTAGCAGAATCTACAATGAATAGCTTGTAAAAACAAGTCTAGGTTACATTTTAGTAGTCATATCAAGTGTGAACAGGTAGATACAAAGTCACATCTCAGTGATTCTGCTCTAGCTATTTCTGTCTGTCAACTCTCCTGTTCTTTAGATGGGACTCACCCTCAGAAACATGTCCCACATATCCAGGATCCATTCTTCAATTTAAAGACATTGACGTTGCCACTCTCCAGTTATTGTGAACATAGCAGCAATGACCATCGCTGAGCAAGTATCTGTGGAGTAGGATACTGAGTCCTTTGGGAATTTGCCAAGGATTGTTTCAGCTGTGCCATATAGAGAGTTCCTTATAGTCTTTGAGAAGTCTCCACACTAATTTCCATAGTTTCTGTTTACAATCCCACCAGCATTGAATGAGGGAATCTCCTTTCTCAGTCTCCTGAGAGAGGGTTGAAGATGTGCCTTGCAATCCTGTCAAAAGCGATCTGACTCCCTTGATTACTCTATCTTACTTCCTTCACTTTCTTATTCATAGCAGTAATGGTGAGAGTGGAGTAAGTCAATTGATTTTCTTTCTCATAAGCCTTTTGCTCTACAAGTACTCTTAGAAATTTCACCAGAATAGGAGCAATATACTGAGTAGATTCTTATCGAAAAAAATGAGTAGTCTTAGTTATAATGAGAAAATTTTCTTTGTCTAAGAGAAATTCAAATCAGTTGTAGAGTTCAGTCTAGTATAATAATGGTGAGGAAAAGACCATAAAAAATTAGACACGTCAGCATGGATCTCAAGCCCTACATTTTACCAACATTCCTTCAGCACATTATTTCAATTTGTGTTGAGTTGACCATCTTGCTGGCTGTAATGCTGCCAACAAAATATGCCCATGCTCTGTCACACATCTTCATAGGGCTGTATACTATCCCATCCTACCAACCTCTAAACTCAGTTCCTCTTTCTCTCTGTGTCTCCAGCCTCAAAAAAGCTCTTGATATGCTACTGTCAAAGCCAATACTATAAAATACTAGAACGCATCAGTAGAGGTTGCACCAAGGGTAGCAAAACCTATGCGTTCTGCTGCAGCTGAGCATGGAGACCAGAAACAGCACGATGACCATCTGAGGCCCTTGTGTTTCTCCTTTGTCTCCAATAAGTTACTTGCGATATGTTCCTGTGGGTTTGCATTCTCTTGGTCTTTGTTATGAGACTCAGTCAAGACTCTGGGTATCAAGTATCAGAACCTTAAGGAAACCTTTGCTAATGAATAAATTATATCACCACCTATCATTCATTTATTATTAACAAGAGGCTGGAACATTAATTTCTTAACCTGGGATATATGTCTGAGGTGCCTATTTAACATATACCATCAAAGAAATTACTAGTATTCTTAATAGGTCTAAGATATTTACAGCTATTTTAATTTGGGGCATTACTACAATCATTACTACTATGAGAACTGTTGCTGCCTTACTACTACAAGTTCATACCATGGAGAATGTTAATTAGCTCTCAAAAAATGTTATCACAACAACAAAAAAGAAAAAAGCAAAAAAGAGTAAATCATAGGATAAATACTTAAAAGAAGCAGTCTTATTTACAGGTAATCAAATTCAAAATATTGAGGTTAGATTAACTGTCTTTTGTCATTCAAAATTTAAATTTATTTATGTCACTCCACTTCCATACAATTCCTCTGAGATAACCTAGGCATAGGTTAGTCCTACTGTCACTGCTTATGGAACAATTCTAAACTAACTATAAACATGCAGTCTTTGCATCAATGAACAGCAGGCATTAGTTCAGCTCAACTGTAGTCTGCCTTGGCTTCTGTGGTAACAAATATATTTTTATAATCTCTCACATTTTCTTCAGGACAGAGCTTTTGATCTAGTATCATTAATTTGGGAATAACCCTAGGAGTTATGCTTATTTTGATTCTTGTCCTCCCAGTCATCTTTTTAAAAACAAAAGTGGGAGATGGCACAGCCATATCTGAATGGAATGGCAGAAGTCCTAAAGCCAGCACAGCTGCATGACAAAGGTCCAGCAAAGCTGAGCCACATGATGGCTGCCATGCCTACTTTGGTTTTCATCACCACCTGTTGCATACTTGGGGAACTTTTAATATTTGAACAATTTGGGGATATTGGATTGATGGGAAAATTCTTATGAATCATTTATGCCTTCTCCAAGGAATGCTGCTTGTTAGCTTCTCCAGGACAGTCCTGAACATACTACTTCCTCCTGCTTTTAAAGAGATATCCTTATCAACTTGAAGGTCTTCCTTATGCCTTAGAGGTTGTGACAGATAAAGAAGCCAGAGGTCTCTTCATGAGGCTATGAGACATTCTTGAAACATCTATCCCTGTACTTACTCAGGAACAAGATAATCAAAATAAAATAAACTTTAAAAGGTCAAGATTTGGTGGGCTAGAAGAGTTGTCCACAGTTCAGATTACAAGCCTCTTCCCACTGTATATTCAGACAATTATGTGACATACAACTATGCCCTACACAGAGACATATTGATGAGCAAAGTATAGAGTAGAAAGATGATAAAAGAATGAGATGTCAGGACCTCCCTCTCTTAGAAAAAAAAGTTAGCTTAGCACATGCAGAGCCACTTTGGTGTCACATGACCAAGGAACAACAGAATGCTAGGATTAAACATATATACAAATCTATTAAGATAAAAACATTGTATTGTGCCAGAATTTGAATAATAACTGCAGCAGTTTTAGTCTGGGGGTTTTTTCCTGGACACTCTGACCATTAAGTGTTAATAATACACTGCTTGGGACATGGCAAAATGCCCAGGGTGGCTTGAAGATTTCGCTTTGGTCTAGTGTCCTAGAAGTAACCAAAGCTATCCTCCTGAGAACAGGCTGTCATATGCCTCAAGATTGTTAAGAAATGGGTTATGGGGTTAATGAGTAAGAATGATAATTCTGTTTATTAATGATGTCAAAACTTAAAGAAAAAATGATTGGAACTGATAACTCTGCTCTGTCATAGTTTATTAATGATGACTAAAAGATGAACAAAAGGAAGTGAAACATATGTCCAAAAACAAAAATGATATGATTTATGTTTTTGGAAAGTCATGAATGTATCCCTGCTTACTAAATTCTGTATAAATAAATGTATACATTCTGGCTGCTAGTCAGTCAGGATGCAAGATTCTCCCAACCACCAAGGAAACCCAAGGCCATGAGGACATTCACTCTACTCACTGCCGTTCTCCTGCTGGCCCTCCAGACCCAGGCAGAACCTCTCCAAGGAAGAGCTGAGGAGGTTCTAGACCAAGAGCACCTAGGAGAGGATGACCAGGATATGTCCATCCTGGCAGCACTGATCTTGAAGATGCATGTGAGAGATGACAGCATGTTAGAGATAGGAGCAAAAAGAAGGGATGGAGATAAGCTCTGAAATCAGGTCACCTAGATGACTTAATTATTTCTTTATTTTCTTATTCAACAAAAGGAGCCAAATAAATCAATTTCTTCATGCTAAGATTTTTGTTCCAAGATATGCTTGTGACTATCAATGGGTTTAATACATAAAGAGATTAATAGCTAGTTTTTTTTCTAGCTCTAAATGGCTAGACTTGGTCACAAGGAGACTATATTATTGTGTCTATTATATTTTAGGAAATGGAAGTATGTGTTTAGATATTTATGTGTGATGGTAGAAATACACACAGAAAAAAGAAATCAAATGAAACTAAGACAAATTTGTATTGGTTTTTAGTTTTGTGCAGGTCTGCTCTTTAATGTGTATATTTATTCATATTGATTGTGATTGTTCAGGCTGCTGTCAGTAATGGTAAATGTGGGGGACCCACTTTACCTTACACATATCGTGCCCATGATCACTTTCACCCTGCTGACCCAGGCACTGAGTGCTTCATATGGTCACTGTCTCCCCATTGTGAGGTCAGGCTTGACCTGCTATTGCAGATTAAGAGGCTGCAGTTTTCTAAATGCCTCTCTGGGTCCTACAGTTAGCAAAACGTCATCTATAGCATCTGATGACACTGACCACTAAGAACAAGAAGAATATGTTTGTCATATGAGTTGAGAACATGAAGGATATTATTTGTCCCACACTGTGTTTTTGAATCTTTCTCATTTATATCTAAATAAATTCCTTGCAGCAAGTTCCCTGTGGGTGTGCTTGTGCTTGTGCTTCTCTGGTTTCTCCCAGCAAGACTGAGAATGGAGTACCAGGACACTATAAAGAAATTCCTGGCTCTGGTGTGTAGGAATATCAAGGCTGTCACACAGGCTTCTGGAAAATAAGAAAGCTCAACGCTGTTGTAATCATTCTAATCTCTCATCTCATCACTTGCCTCATTTAGATTAGAACAACTCTCAAAGCCATTGGCAATGTGGGAGGTTGAAAACAACACAACTATCTTCCTGTTTCCAAAGTCTCAATGACCTAACTTCTCAAAGAAGACAACATCCTCATTCTCAGTGTTAGGATTTGACCAAACAGGCCAACATCATATATCTGCCCATAAAGCCCTAGATTTCTATCAGCTCCACAGACACAACTGTAAGTAGCATTAAGAAAGGTTAGCACATGCTACAACCCACAGCCCCAGAGAGGCTAGGTAACAAGGAGGGTTCAAAGAGGGACACATGGATTTTCCATGGAAGGGGAAATAGAAGAGATCTCTATTGTGTGTGTGTATTTCTTGTCTCTCAACTCTGCCTTCACTTACATTTTTACCATTCTCAAAGACAATTCTCTCCCAGACACATTTAAACACTCATGTCAACTTCCTTCTAAGAAAAGCCACCACCTTCTTCTCTAAAAGATTGGAGTTTTATTGAAAATACCCCAAGAAAATGTACGTCTTTTAGGA